GATCACGTGACGGGGCCGTATCGACAAGAGCTCCATCACAAGACTCTCGCAGCAGACGGAAAGATGGCAAGTCAGAGCCAAGGTGTCCAGCAGCTCCTCGCCGCCGAAAAGAAGGCCGCAGAAAGGGTCGCCGAAGCCAGAAAGCGTAAGGATGATTTATTCTATAGGTTGAATTGGTTTTGGGGAAAAATTATTAATTTCTAAAGGGTAAATGGAGAAGTGTTTTGAGGGTTGGTCCTGCGGGGGGGGCGAAGTGTCAAAATACAGTTTGGGGTTTAATATTTACGCAATTCTTAAAAAGTTATTTGAGGTAACGCACATATTATAATGCTGTTTAATGAACTGTATTGAATTATAGATTCTAGTGTTCACACACATCTCGTAAACAGGCAGTTGATTTTGTAACAATTACCTCCAAAAGTTAATTTCTATTTCACACTAATCGTATTATACAGCTATAATGTTTTCAGAGATAAAGACCCCAGCTTGAACGACCAAGCAAAGGAACCCCATCTTAAATGCACAAACGACCACAAAGATTGTTGTACGACCCTAAAACCTTCCTAACGATGGGGCCGTGTCCTGAACCCCCTACCAATTGTCATATTTTCCAAGCTGATTTATACTTTAACTTATTAAGCATTATGATTGATTTAGAAAAGTTTGGTTGCAGTAAAGATATGAAATTTCATGTTATAGGCACATTACATGTATATGTTCTGTCCAGTTGATGCCATCATGTAGAATAAGAAAGTACAGTTTCTTTTAAAATCTTCTTTAACTGTTATATATATATTAAAGATTATAATTGTTAACATTTGGAAGATAGTTAGGTTAGAGACTAACGGCCAGTTTGTTAAAATTGTACGAGGCCCGTTGTAATTGCTATTCATTAGATGGACCTGCATATACACAGAAATATATACAAATCTATTAGTGTAGGCATGCATAACTACTTGGTAGATAGATAAATAAATGTATATCTATTAGACAGATCAACAGATATACATTTATTTCTGTGTATATGCATGTCCAGATATATGAATGTTGATTGGGTTGATCCTTGCACAGTTTTAACAAACTGGCCGTAAGTTCTCACTGGCATGTCTCAATTTTTTTTTAACAATTTAAGTTGCTGTGACGGGGTGTTACTGTCTGAGGGAGGGTTAATGGGGTGCCCTGCCTCCCAACACCTCTTGGCAAACATTGCTTTCACCTTGGTATGCGCAGCAACTGGTTATTTTCCAGAATCGGTCTGCAGACCTGTTGGAATTGGCATGCATGTGGACCATAATTGGTGTCCTCCCTAGAGACAATCCTCTCCTAGGTAGGGTTGATGGATTGTCAACTTTTTCATGGACTGGTGGATATCCTGCAGGAACTTGAAAACGAATCCCCTCATGAAGTCCGTGAGGCAGTTTCACTCCAGTTGGTCTGTTCGCTCTTGACGAGACATCCCCATCACCTGACACTTGGCATTAATTTCCCATGAAACGTACCCAGTACCCACAGCTCTCACAAATTTTTTCCATGACGAGGAGCCTGTGACGAACCCCTCGGCCAGATTTTTTCATGATAAAACATCCATGTTACGTAGATAAAACAGGTGGAAATCCATCAGATTTAGTATCAGTGGACACTACTCAAATTGTCTATTGTGAATTTATTGCATATGATCAGGGAATGAAGAAGTTAGTTTGTAGTATTTTTGTATTATTGTCATTAAGGGATTATACCCCAAAAAAAGCCCAAACCCTTTGCTGGGAATACCAAATACCACCACTTCTGACAGGCAAGATGGAACTTAGTAGGTCCAAATGATTCACCTTATGAGTGACGTCACAATTCAGACGAGGCTGTTACTCCTCAAGGTAAACATGCCATTGCACACAGCTCTTGAGTTACTGGATGTTCATATGGTGCCTATTTATTAACTTTTTCTGCCATATTTGGATAATAGACATCAACAGAAGTCCATTGATATCTAGTTTAATGCAAACCTATTATAGAAATTAAGGAATAACCATCTATATTGCATTTCAAGTCATGCTGATCATATATCATTTTTAATGTACTAAGGGCAATTTGATGCTTTGAAGTTTTGAAATGAAACCACAATGATGTTTTGATACAGATGCCAGTCTTGCAATCATTTGAGCTTTAAGGTGCTACAGTAACACTACTTTTTCGCTAAACAGAAAAGCAGGGCGGTTTAAGGAATACCATACATCTTACAAGCAGGTGTACTGGAGCACATGGGTTATTCATTAACCTTATGATGACGAGGCCTAAATTTTTTCTGATTGTGACAGTATGCAATAGTCTAAATTTTGTGGCTAAGCCTAAGCTGTGTACAGCTGGCCCACCTGTTGCGAGTAATGACACGTATGTATGTCATAGGCCATTACGTCATGACAGCTCTAGACATATGCATCACAGAAGGGTTAACAAATATGTGATCAAAGCAGCAACAGTTTTCAATTTCAGTGTTGTACAAAAAAAAGTTTGCAAGAGTTATAGCAATAGTACTTCTAACATTACATGATCAAATAATTGTATTAAACATATTTGTACTTCTGAATCCAAAAAGGCTCACACTTTTATGCTTGATTTATAAATTTATGAGATCTATTTGTATTCTACGGACATATTTGCAGTTGTAGGTTATCTGTTATGGATCACAGCATGTTTCAAGTAGGTTTGGGTAGAACATAGCCGATATAATTGCTTAGGTAAAGTTCTGTCTTCGAAGTCCATGGAGGGTTAGTTAGTAACATGTACAAAACTTTAAACTCCTTAGAAAGTATTAGAATACAGAACAAGAAGTATCAGTCTCAGGTTTTAGTTAACTAGCATAGAGATAACATTATCCCTCTCCATGAAGTGTTCACTCATTCACTGAAAATTTTTCTTCCTAAATTATTCTCAGTATTCACCCAAAATTATTTCATGAAAAATTCTAATTTCAGGCAAAGCACGTCGGTTAAAGCAGGCTAAAGATGAAGCCCAGGCTGAGATTGAAAAATTCAGACAGGAGCGAGAACGTCAATTCAAAGAATATGAAGCTAAGGTGAGTTTTTCATTAAACCTGTTGCAGAGGAAATACCATTGATATGAGTAAAAAGAAAATCTTAGCTGCTGATATGTACCTTAAAAAAACAGGAAAACTCTTTTTGTCAGTCCTAGAAAATTTTGACCAGAAAACAGGATTGTAATGGAAATTTTCTCCACCTCTTTGAAGTATTGAAGGGTTTAATCCAATCTGTAAAAGCATATATAGTTATTATAAGTTTTTAATTCATAATCTATTTTATGTGTAGCATTTAGATAATTTCTATCCATTTTTGTCTTTCAGCATTTAGGATCGCAGGATGATATTGCCCTAAAGATCAAGAATGACACTCATATTAAGATTGATGCCATGAACAAGCAGGTTGCCTATAATAAGGAAGCCGTAAGTGGAAGACTGTTCTTTGTATTGGGATCCTCATATTCAAGAGTATATGGAGCATAAAGACTATATAGAATTCGTTTTATTTGAATTATGTTGATCCAGTTTTTTATGTTTGCGGAACTAATAATACAAATCTTTTGATATAATGGACATCACCAACGTAATTTACTCCTCGCAGGTTATCAAGCGCATCTTGCAGCTCGTCAATGACATCAGGCCAGAAATGCACATCAATGCTAAGAAGGAAGAGTGAAGAGAAACCGCTTTCTGCTTCTCCGGCTTAGACTCCATGATCAGTGTCTAGGAAGACAGATGTCTAGTAGAATATGTGTGTGTATGTACAATTTGAAATGAATGTATCTTGTTTGCATCATTCAAGTACTTTTGTTGTGGTTCAGTGGGAGATTCAGGTTTTAAGAGTAATTTTGAGTATTGTAAGATTTTTTTAATTTTTTTTTTTCCCTTTGTACATAGATAGATTTTCCAAGTCTGCTCTCTTTGGGGACATCTTTATTACAGAATTATAGAATTGTGTTGTTAGAGAGTTGGGCAAAAATTTCAGTTCTTTACCAGTTGTCAGATGAAAGATAGCATTGTCTTTGAATTTATTTTTATTTTCATTCACGGTAGATTATCTTGAATTTACAAACTTGATTGTTTTATCGTAGTTGCTGGACTAATTAACAAAGCACAAGTTGGTTGTTGTCTCAAAGGTTTATTTGATCAAGATTAATAATTCGTACTTAGTAAGTACATCACATTCCATGATGTTTTGAATACTCTTCTGGTGTTGTGCAACTTGTTTATAGTGTAAAATAAAATATGAGATATTTATCTTGATTTTTGAAGTTCCTTTTTGCATACTATTTAATGAATCCTTTTTATAAGATTGCAATTATCATTCAGGCATGTTGTTTTTTACATTAAATCATGTATGTATAGATTTCTTTTTTACTTTTTAAGGAAATGCTATTGCAGACTTGAAGCCAGTTGAAACCATTAAACTGTAAAATACCAGTTTGGGCTCCCAGTTGTGATATTGTAAATTTGGACACCTCAAAATTGTAGTTTAGAATCTTAATGGGTATAAAAGTAAATTGAAAGAATAATATTTAAAAACATATGAAAACGTACATTAATTAATAATTATTTTAAGTTATTATTTGAGAGGAAAACATGATTGAAAGTCTTGTAAATATTAGAGAATGTTTACTCCATTCTGTGGACAAATATGTGGCCAAATACAAAATTTGGCTAAGGACCATCTTCAAGTTTTAAAAATAAATAGCTTTTTCACACTTTTGACCAACCTCACAAATGGTCCATATTTATAACAATATAAAACTCCAATCTTTTCTCTAAATATTATGGGGAAAAAAATTGGTTCAAAAAGCAATCATCACCACAACTGCTACATCTTGGTAACCAGTATTTTTTAGTAGTATTCTGTATACATTATTTACAGAAAGTAAAGATATTAAGTTATTCCTTTATGTTGTCTCAAAATCCTGACACAAAAATTGAGGTAAAAACTTAAATACAAACATAGAAAAGAAGCGTAACTCAATCTATTGATCCCTGATGGTATATACTGTAACATGATACGCAACTAAAAGTCTGTACATTAAATTGTCAAAGTAAATCCAGACAAGAGACAAATACATTATAAATTTAACATAAGGTGACTAGACAAACAATTGGAAATCAAAAATTGCACACTGAAAAATCAACAGAAAAATGAGGGGCTGCATTAACTTTTGATACTGCAAAAGTTAAATACTCTGTAAATATACAGTTTGTGCAAGGAGAAAAAAAATCACATTTTTGAGTGTGTTATAATGCTCACCTTTTTGTAAATGCTGTTACTACAATCTCTGATCGCTAAAATGGCATGTGAAATGTATTTTTCTTGTATTTTCTGTTCAAATGCAAGAAAATTGTAAATGCCTTGGAATAATATAATTACTCCAGCAGGGTCAGACATCCATGCTTGTACAAGCACGCAGTATTACTCATACTGATGTGTACATGTACATCTGAACAGTCTCCAATATAATTCTTTTTTGTATATATAACTCTCGGGGCATATGATCTTGACCAGCAGTATCAATATTACCAAAAAGAGACATATTCTCTTTTATGCCAGTAATGAATATGCACCATTACACAAATAGATACAAAATGCAATTCTGATTTGCTTAAAGTAAAGCAATTAGGTTTCACTCCGATACTCCTTTCAGGATTCGCTTTTCAAGCAAATATGTGTCACAGGCATTGCAGTACAGTTGACATGCAGTCTTCCACTAATGCTGCTTGCCACAGTTATTTCTTTCCGATCCTTGAAGGATTTATACTTCATTTGTGGAAACTGTAAATTAAGTACATGATAGACAGACCCTCCCTGTGCCATATTTCTGGAGAGGAGAACCTTATGATAAACTCAAAGATGTGATGATTTTACTGTGTTGCAAGAACCAACAATGTGGGTTGGTTCTGAGGCTTCTATATGGACTAGTGTGTATATAACCAACATATCTACCAATGTTGTGGGAGAACAGGAAATAAAAAGAGCTGTGATTAGAGGTTAAAAAACAATTCCTTTTCAAGGAATGCATTTACTGAGACATTGTGAGAGCCTTTTCTTCATTGACTAATATGTATGGCTTGGGGTTACTATTGTCATACAATCAAAATATATACTAAAGATTAATTATGACTACATATGACACCAGACAAAGAATAAATACATATGACTATATGAACAAACATGAAAAAGACAGCAAAACTCGATTTATAAATTGAAAGAAAATGAACAAATAATACATGATTCATACAATGTGTGAAACAGCATTATTTAGACAAGAGAGACAAACTTCTTTCACAATTAACCCTCATTTCAGATTTGCCGATTTTCATGCGGATTTCTAGATCAATTTGTGATATTAGAATAATATGAGGAATGGATATAATGTTTTCCAATATATTTACACTATTATGTCTATATATGCCATGTCTATGGTCTCGCAAAATTGTCCTTTTCTGAGATTTGCTGGGCCTCTGCCATGACGACATGACAAACACTACCTCTCATTGTAATGTCTGGGCATTTGCAACCTCAAGTTGGGCACCCAGTGAGGCATCATCTCAGCTTATTATTACACACAGTATCAGTAACGGCAAAAAATATAGCACTAATAACAATGATTGACATGATTAAAAATTATGACAATAATAATAATAATGATGATGATAATAATAACAACAGTAATAATAACAGAAGAAAAAATAATACCAATAATAATATGAATATGAATAATAATAATTATTATTGATATTATCATTATCATTATTAATATAATCATATCTATAATAATAATGATGATAATAATAAGAAAAATGAGTAATAATAATAATAATAATAACAATTATAATAATAATAATAATAATAATAATAATAATAATAATAATAATAATAATAATAATAATAATAATAAATAATTACAATAATAATAATCAATTATAATATTGATAACAAAAATAATCATAAAAACAAGAAGAACACTAAGAAAGAGAAAATAATTACTACCATGAGAATGTATACAAATGATATGCGTGGCGATGGCAATGACGAAGCTCATAACAATAATGAGGATGGCACATATCAATAAAAGTAGTGATGATGTGATGATAATACTATTACTACCATTACTACCACTATGACAAAAGAAAGATAAGATCAACTAACTGTAAAACTGGAAAGAAGCCTTTATAAAAGAGACAAGCAAATAGACGAGAAAAGGCATAAGTCTATTTAGCGAAGAACCTTTACATATATCACAATTACATCACACTTATAAAATTTGTAAGACAAGATGCAAGAAAAAAAAGGCAAACAAGTTTTCAATAGAAAAAGATAAAAGCATGACATATCTCATAAAAAAAAAAATAATAATAATAATACCTCTATGAAAATCTCAAAATCTTGCATCATAAAATACACACACAATAATAATTCTAAATAATCAAAAACTAGAAATTTTAGCACAGGGTATTACACATCATAGTAAAAGAAAAAAAAAAAACACCTGCCCTCTTATCTTAATAAATAAGAACAATATTGGTCGGCTGATTATAAGCCAGGAGAATTGGAAGATGCAGGAGGAGGGAAAAGGATGAGGAGTCGATTTCTCGTGACACCCTGAGCCAGTTTCTCATGTATTCTGTCATGGCTTCGTTGCTCATGTTAGCTGCATTCAAACCTCTCATGAAAAGGCACTGTGGAAGAAATGACAATAAATCATTTAAGAACAACTACGGAAGTATAAAACAAACTGGAGGCATTACTATTTAAACCTTAAACACAAGGCCCTGTGCTTCTCATTGTCTTCCTGTGGCCTAAGACAATCAGTGGATGCGTTTCTGACAAAAGGCAGGTCATGTCTTTGTATGTTTTATATTTTGCAGATATGGGTCAACTAAAGGCACACAAAACTAAAGGAGATGGTGTGTATACAATTCTCACACAACCACCAGACAGGGGAAGCAGACAGAAGCAAAGAGGGGAACAAAGGTGGAGCAGACAAAGTTGGTGCAAAGAGGGGACCGGAGGTGGAGCAGACAAAGCTTGAGTGGTGGAGCAGACAAGCTTGAGTAAAGAGGGGAACAGAGGTAGAGCAGACAAAGCTTGAGTAAAGAGGGGAACGGAGGTGGAGCAGACAAAGCTGGAGCAAAGAGAGGAACAGAGGTGGGGCAAAAAAAGTTGGAGCAAAGAGGGGAACAGACACAGAGAAGACAAAGTTGGAGCAAAGAGAGGAACAGAGTTGGAGCAGGGAGGGAGAACAGACAGAGTGTAAATGGTGTCTGTCAACCCTATATGCACAAACATCACCAAGGCCTCAGATAAAATATAGTCCTAGCTTGTTTGTGATGCATTGATTATAATAAGCAAGGGCCCTCTGTAATATCACAATGATATCACTGCTAAACTACATAAAAAAGGAAGATTATTCACTGAGACTATTAATACAGACATATTCCAAAAATCATAATAATAATAACAATAATAACATAACAGCAATAATAATAATAATAATAATAATAATAATAATAATAATAATAATAATAATAATAATAATAATAATAATAATAATAATAATAATAATAATAATAATAATAATAATAATAATAATAATATTAATAATAATAATAATAATAATATAATAATAATAATAATAATTATATTATAATAATAATATAATAATAATAATAATAAATAAATAATAATAATAATTATATATAATAATCATCTAATAATAATAATAATAATAATAATAATAATAATAATAATAATAATAATAAAATAATAATAATAATAATAATAATAATAATAATAATAATAATAATAATATAATAATAATAATAATAATAATAATAATAATAATAATAATAATAATAATAATAATAATAATAATAATAATAATAATAATAATAATAATAATAATAATAATAATAATATAATAATAATAATATAATAATAATAATAGTGATAATAACAACAATGAAAAAATAATAACAATAATAGTAGTAATAACAATAATAATAATTATTATTATTATAACTAATAATATAATATAATTATTATTATTATTAATACCAATAATAATAATAATCACTAAAACAATAATAACAATTACAACACTAATAACAATAACAATCATGATAATCTTACATGCTTCAACTGTTCGTGCGAGAGTGAGTCAATCCCTTCTCTGGAAATCGCTGAATCGAGGTAATGTAGCTGCCTTGCATAGTCCTCTAGCCTTTTCCGTTTCAGAAAATAAACAGACCTACCATGTAGTCGCAGCAGCCCTCTCTGAAAATTGCAGGCTAGGAGTTAGAATCCGTATCACCAATGAATATGTCAGTGTACTATGTAGAAACTATCCGGATATATTCCTTCAATCTACATGAGAGTTATACTCTAGCATCCTTTTACAAACCTAATTGACAGAAACTTCATGTCAGAGCAAAATATAAAAAACATTTTTTTTTTAGCTTAATTTGTATACTTATATTTACACGATCAAACTGAATGCAGTCACACAATCATAAAAGAATATGAAGTACAGGATGCTCTCCTTTATTAGTTCAGTAACAACAAAATGTGTACTTTCCTATATCGTATGATATCATACACAAATATTCCCAGTTCCACTAACAAAGGGATACATGACCTAAATCTAATGCAGTCCTAGCCTAATGTATTAATACAACAAATTGAAATACATCAGTAAATGCACTATAAATCAACTTAACAAACAGACAGTTCTACTGCCTTTTAGATATATTTAGTTTTCACATTCTTGCCCTCTTCAATGCCGCTCCATTAATCATCATTCAGTACAATTAGCATCCAGTATTGAAGTCATAATATGCAAAACTTCATTCTTTGTAACATACATATTTCCTATGTTTGAGTAAGGAGAGACTGCCTAATAGGATATAAAAGTCAATGCAATAATCAGTAAGAACCATTAAAGTAATACTAACAAAGACAAACAAAATACCTCACGCAACCAATCAAACTTACCTGCAACTAGAACTTACCAAATGAACTGAATACATTTTCTTAATGTGGAAAGGTGCTCCCTGGAACAGAGGCAACAGTTCCACAATCTCCTCAACTGTGGGATGAATACCAGAGCCAAGTTTGTAGAAGGCAGCTCTACACTTCTTGCGCAAGCTCTTATCCTCTATGGTATTCAGCGCAGCTTGTAGGGACCTGGAAAATGGGACAGTTCTTGCCTATACAACTGCACTTTTGATATTCCTTATACTAAATACATCTTACACATATGAACCCACATTGAAATCATACAATAGAGGGACCTATACCTGAATACAGGCCGATAATTGAACAGCCTCTTCTTCATGTCCATGAGGGCAAATTCATGACGCTGCTTGATGTCCCAAAAGTGATGACACAGCAAGTGCCGTGGAAACCAATACCTGTATATGAATAGAGAACAATGCTCATACATCTCTGAATCTCATTCCACTTTCTTATTTCTCTTGCTATTACTCAATCTTTCTCTTTGTTTCTCTAACCACAGTAGCTTTCTAGATCTTGCTCTTTATTTGCCAACATTACTAATGTTCTACACTTCTTAGAGCAAAAAAGAAAAGAAGGGAAAAGTTTCCAATAGTCTTCACAGACTAAAAAGAATACCACTCTCTTTGTCTTCACATATCAGTCATTACCCTATGGGAAAGGCAAGATTCTGGCCTAAAGGTAAAGATGATAAGGCAAGTATAGGAAAGACTCTGATCATGTCTCTTGGCATGTTGTAATACAGCTCCAACTCCCGACGGGTGCAAGTTCTTAGTGTGCTGCCAGGAACACTTAGATACACCAGGACCATCATAAAATCCCTATTGAAAAGAAAAAAAAAGATCTTAACAATATCAACATGATCAATGCAATCAAAATTTAAATTTAAAGACCATTGGTCTACAGATTTTAATCTTGTGTGTAAATATCCATTTATTCATATGCATCTAGAATAAGCAAAGTTAACTGTTGACAACTTACTTGAAATCAATGAGGAATTGCTTCAGTCCAACTGAAAATATGCGAAACATATTGAAGGTGTCCGGCATCTCAGTCTCCAAAGATTGGTGGAATCTATTCAAGTACCATGTGTACCGACCTAAGAAGTATCGCAGTATTTTCGAGGATATGTTTTGACTACCAACCTTTTTCACCTGTTTTCGTGAGGTCTTTATCATTTGCATGTCCTCAGCTTTGACACTATTATCATTCTCACTTTGGCTTGGTTCAGCACCAACTGCACTCTCTTTCTCATTTGTGGGTTCTTGTTTTTTTTTACTATCTGGACTAGTTGACATATTTTTCACTCCTGTGGTGGATACATCTGTGATGGGCAGCAACTTTGTTTGAGTCTGCCAGTAAAGACTTTGGTACGGAACATGCAAAGGCGATCTTCGCATTCTGACTCGATGCCAGAAATAGGATGTGCGTGTGTATGAATTGATCTGACTAGGGGGGGACACACTCTGAATATCTGGCACTCTGTATATTCCATATTTTTGCCTGGCACCTCCTTGTATGTGTGGCCCATGATGGATCCCTCTCCACAACACTCCTCTGAAGACACATGGACAATGCTGAGTGTGCATTTTCCATATATGATCCCTGTAAAATTGAAAAGGAATTAATAATAATTACAGTAACATATTATTATTTTATTGTCTTCCTTCACTTTAACAAAAACTCTCTTGTCCAGAATGTAAGAATCTCAAGCTGCAAACACTTTGGTGGTCATCACTATAGTTGACAAAGATCAGAGGTTAGGAATTAAAAGTGCATCCCCAAAGGCACCAATCTAATGTCTACACATAGTGTCACATAAATTAAATATACTTAAGTTAATCATAATGCATCAATGATTAAATACTGTTTAATAAATTGTATAAAATTCATAAGAAGTTCATAACAACTTAAAAGTCCTTAAGTGTGATGAATAGAAATACGGGAGAATTCAATTACTAGATTTACTTACTTAAAAGCAGGGCATAGAAATTTGTAATCACAAAGACAAAAAATTAATGATTATATATTATTACTTCTAATATAGCAATACAACTATACTGTTTGTATGTATATATCCAGACATCTTCTAAATAGAAGAATGAATCATATAGGTAAATAGGAATGTAGTACTAATGACCAATAATCCTTGTATTTTTTGTATAGACAGGCTGTATCTCCTATATTAGTGAACATGGTACTGACTGATTGCTTCTAACATCGACTCTCCACTTAAAAAGTTATGACATACAGACCTACTACTGTCTTAAGCAGCTGGAGAAGGCACGCATTATACCAGGAAAATTGTTAATTAAAAAATATAAATTTACCAACCTTCATAACATATGCAATAGTAAGGTGGCACTGCCATTATCATCTAATAATCTTCATGTTTTGCTAACTTTGCTTAAACATCAACATTAACAACACCATCTGACCAGGTCTACAATCATCCACTTTTGTATTTTCTATCAGGAAAGAGCCTAGCTAAGTCTCAGAATTACACAGAACTAGTCATGTTACTTTGTATGTTTACCCATAGTTTCCTCAGTATACTTTATACCAATTAATTCTTTTATGTAGGCATGCCATGACCATAATCCTTGTATTTTTTGTATAGACAGGCTGTATCTCCTATAGTGACATGGTACTGACTGATTGCTTCTAACATCGACTCTCCACTTAAAAAGTTATGACATACAGACCTACTACTGTCTTAAGCAGCTGGAGAAGGCACGCATTATACCAGGAAAATTGTTAATTAAAAAATATAAATTTACCAACCTTCATAACATATGCAATAGTAAGGTGGCACTGCCATTATCATCTAATAATCTTCATGTTTTGCTAACTTTGCTTTAACATCAACATTAACAACACCATCTGACCAGGTCTACAATCATCCACTTTTGTATTTTCTATCAGGAAAGAGCCTAGCTAAGTCTCAGAATTACACAGAACTAGTCCATGTTACTTTGTATGTTTACCCATAGTTTCCTCAGTATACTTTATACCAATCCAACCATAAGTTCAGTAACAGCCATTGGATAGGAATACCTCATGAGCGATACATCAGTACCAATATCGCTAACAGCAGCAATGCATAAACATTTAGGGCAATCCACTGTTTTAATGGTGCCTGATGCACTGGTGGTACTCAAGACCTTTAAAAATTCTTTTTAGTGATTGTTGTGCTGGCTTACACTTGAAAGAGACTTCCCTTAAAACACACCAACTAAAAGCAAAACTTAATCCCAACAAATTATAAAAGGCCTAAATACTGGCGGTAGAATGTGCTACTTTCAACCTTGAGAAAGTGATGCAATCGAATGCAGACCCACGGCTGCAGTCCCCTCAATAGCACATGACTAACCGTCCTATATACACACATCATAACCATGTCCTGGACAAAGAAATTCCAGTGTCACCCTCTGAATTTTTAATACAACCTGTAGCGAAGGGGAAAGCGGTAGAAAAGACATGGATTTAAGGTCGACATTGCCCAGGCCCTTCGCCGTCCGGGAAATTCGGGAATGTTGTGGTCGGTCAGCTGATTTTTGTTTACCAAGGTTTCCAAGGGATCACTAAACGCTTAGCTATAGTTTGCCTATTTGGATGTGTTTTAGTTGTCAGTGCAATTTTGATGCGCATGTTTATCCTATTCGTAAAGACTATAGGTCGTTTATAAGTTAGTACACAATCAATATACCAAACCGGTATAAAAACCTTTATTTGTCACGCTTGCATCGGCATTCCTAAATCGTAACCATGTTCACACACTCTTCCGAAATAGAAACCTATATTACAAAGAGTCGATCATCCCCCTGTAAATAAAGATCCAAAGATAACCAAACGTCTCCCCAAAAAAGGAAAAGCAGGACCGAGACCGCGACAAATCGCCGATCTTCCAGCCATTTCCGGAGCGAGGCGGCGGCGGCCGTCGCTTCTTCTTCCTCAAGGACATCACCATATAAGGTAAAGTGACTCAGCTGGCCAGTGTGGGGAGAGGGGAGAAGCCAGTGAACGCAGAAAAAGGGCCATGGATCGACGCTGGACGATCGGGCAGCGGGTTGCATCACGCTAACAGCCTGTCCCTCACTCAGTAACACGGGCTGGGGGTTTAGTAGTGCAGAGGCGGCCCGCTGGAAGGTGTGTGGTTGGTTGTGTGTGATTCCTTTTCTTGGTTTAATTCGCGACGAGATTTTCTTTGAAGTAATTTTCTGTGAGTGAGGGTTTGCTATGTCATCGTGAACAGGATTTTCGTACGTTTCGTGAATGACAGTATATGTATTTGGGTTTTATCAGCCGTTGACATGTTGAACCACTTGTAGGTTGGTAAATGTTGGGTCTAAATCTAAATCAAAATTGCACGACCGGTACTGCCTCATTACATAATATTTCTTCAAAGTCCTTTTTGTTTTAGAATACGCATTTAAAGAGTTAAGTATTATATCAGAAGGATATATAAATGTTATGTTCTGGGCTATGATACCCATTCAAGACTCGTTTGTTTTATATTGTGTTCTACAAATAGATACAGGAATTCTTTGGCTACTAAGTTTACTAAGTTACCTGGAAGGAAACTTTGGACCTTGTACTTGACAGCTTGACAGACTTGAGTGAATCCATGAGTTTTTGTCCAGTATTTCAAAAGCCAGAACCATGTATTCTGAAAAAAAAAACTCTAAAATCAATTTAATGTGGTGAAATCTTAGGAATTTTACCTGTACCTAGTATATTATATGTTTAAGTGAAATCATGTTGATGTTCATTGTAGTTCAAACACTGAAGGATTGCCTATAAAAACTTGGAGTTTTTTCAAGACAGATTAAATTGGGGGTCTATATGTCACACAGATTGGTATGTCCATAGTTAAGTAATTGATATAGATTTGGGCGAGTATATCAGGTGAATAGATCTATGTATATGAGTATAT